ATCCCTCCTCCTCCTCCTCCTCCTCCTCCTCCTCCTCCTCCTCCTCCTCCTCCTCCTCCCTTCAGTGAAAACGGCCTGGGACCGAAACCGACGGACCTGGACCCGCAGAAATGACGGCCGCCCTCTCGCGCACCGAAAACGGCCCATTCGCCGATCGACGCGTCGAGGCAGGAGGTCTATCCACCGACGGATCCCCTCTGGGAGGCCCAGAGCGCGGTGACTTCGAGATCCCACGAGGCCTCGCCGCGCAGGTCCGGGGGCCTCGGAGGCCCCCGGTCGCCGAGACTTGCTCGGCCCGGGTCCCGAGACCTCGCGGCCACATTTAGGTCGGGCCTGTCCCCCTGCAGGGGGATTTTGGGCGAAAAAAGAAAAATACCCCAAACATATTCTTAAACAATGCTGAAAAATAGTCAAAAAATAGTCCCCAGACTATGTTTGAACTGTTTTCGAATATTCCCCCTGAAGAGGGACAGCCCCGTCTTAGGGCCACCTCGAATCCTCACACTGCATCAGCACGTCCGGCCTGGTCCCCGCAACGTCTTGCCGTCGCTCGGACGTCCACTCCCCGTGCATCCCTCGATGTCGTGCGTGCATGTTCCGCGAGATGGTCCAGGATGCCCCTCGATGGCCAACGCCGAGACAGAGTGCACACGCCCGAGCGATGCCAAGATGGCTGGGGGCCCCCGAGCTCTCGGGCTCGCCCTGCCCGGAACCTGCGGGGACGACTCCCTCGAGGATCCCCCATGCCGCCGCCTGCCCAGGCATCTTACTGGAGCGAGGCGAGGGGGGGTCGAAACGGCAGGGGTCGGTCTGCGAGGGGTCGACACCAGGCCCGTCCCTGAGGCTCGGCCAGGGCCTCCAGCCATATATTCTCTGGTGGATGGGTGTCTTCTGTCCTGGTCGGGCACGAAGTGATGTTAGGTCGGACATGTCCCCCTACAGGCAGATCTCGTGAGGGAAAAAATGGTCGAAACAGATTCAAGAATGCTCCAAAAACCGTCCCCTGAGATGCTTTGACCAGTTTTGAGCACTCCTCCTGTAGAGGGACCCGCCCCCCGACTTACAAGTGGTGGAGGGGAGATGCACGAGGGGGAAGGGAGGTACCCTTCTCGGACTCCAGAGGGGCCCCCTTCTGGGCCCTGCAGGGCCCCCTTGAGGGGCCCCCGAAAGGGCACCCCCTTTCGGCAGCCTTCGCTGCCCGCCCCCCCCCCCCTAATTAACTGAAGGGGCCCTGGGACACACAAATAAATACACACAAAGAACAGGATTCCCAATACTTTCCCATAGTTTCTTGATTTGTCTGTCTTCCCCCCCCCCACTATCCATATGTTCCCACATCTTCTGGGGAATCGACGATTACTTGTGGCTGTGTGTGTTTTTTCCCCTCCTGACGAACGCCCCCCGTAAACGCGTGCTCCGACGCGGCGCTTCCCTCGGGCTGCGGGCCTCGGGGGCCGTTTCCAAGGCCCCTGGGGCAATCAGAGCCGGACTCGGGGCGAACGCCCGTCCCCGTGGAAGGGGTCGAGACCTCCTGCGCTCAGGTCGGGCAGGTCCCCCTGCAGGCGGATTTCGGATGCAAAAATTCAAAGAAATAGTCAAAAAGGAATTCGAAATTGTCAGAAGTTGTCGCGCACAAAAAGAGTCGTACCCAGACTATGTTTCGATTGTTTTTGAATATTCCTCCTGTAGAGGGACGTGCCCGACCCAATCTTGAGCCCGAGACCGAGGATCGCCAACAAAAACACTCCTCGTATGTCCGGGCGCGCGATGGACAACGGAAAAAAAACAGGTTGTGATCGCGAGCTTCGGTCTCTGCGGCACGGAGATTCGCCGTCTTGACTTCATCAGTACGAGGTGCCTAGAAGTCCAACTCCGAAGACGACGCTCACCAGGTGGTCGACGTAGACGACGACGACGACGACGACGACGACGACGACGCACGCCCAGCCCGCCAGCGCCGCCAGCGGAGCTGGTCAGCGCCTCCCAGAGCACCAGCAGCTCGCCGCGCCTGCCGCCGCCAGTCTCGGGCGACTGCAACGACGACGACGACGACGACGACGACGACGACGACGACGACGACGACGACGACGGCGGCTTCAACGACGCCAGCGGCTCAACGACGACGACGCCGACGCCACGACGTCGCCGCAGCCGCCGCCGACGACGATGACGATGACGACGACGCTGGCCACGACCACGACGACGCTGTCCATGCCGACGGCGTCGACGACGACGCCTGGCCCACGCGAGCGCGCCAAGCCCCAGCAGCAGGGCCCAGCCTGGGAGGACGCCAAGCATCAGTGACCTCACCTTGCTTCCGCGCGACACGCTCCTCAGAGGGCGTCGAGATGGAGGTGGCTGGGAGGTCTGAACGTTCGGTGGCAACTCATGGGAGCCTCCCATCCCGTCTTGTCGGCTCTCGCGAATCGACGCTGATCAACGCTAATCGACGTTCACTCGGCGCTATCGCATCGACTCCCAGACGCTGATCGGCGCTAGTCGACGCGAATGACGGAATTCAGAGGGCAGACCAGGCTTGCATGATTTGCTGCCGAATGAACTGGATCGGACTCCAGAGCATCGGTCAGGAGGAAGGAAGATCCGTGCATTTTTTGGGGTGGAGGGCGAAGGGTTTAATGAGAATTGCCGTTTCACTTGATTTTCGAGGCTTGAATCTGCAAAGGTGGATCACAAGACGCATTGATAATTACTCGAGGTGCAGAAGCCCATGTGGCTTTTACCCCGAGCCCTCCACCCTCAGAGAATGCTCAGGAAGAGACCGAATCCCGTCGAGATCGGTCTGCACACTCTCGCCCCGACTGCGCCCCGGACGGCCCCGGGGGGCCCGGACACGGCCCCCCTGGAGGCCGGCACCCCCACCAGCCGGACCCTCCAACCTGGCCCCCCCCCCTTCCCGCTCGCCAGGACCCCAACCTCGGAGGGTCTCGACCCCTTGCGGCTCCTGCTATGTATTCTTGTTGGGCCCCGGGGTGTGCTGTTCATCCGCTGCGCCTCGCCGATGTGCCGTCTCCGGGAGGCCCAGGCTCGCCCCGAGCGGCCGTCCGGGGGCCAGGTCATCGCCTCAGTGTGGCAGGCCCTACCGAGGGGTAGATCGGGCATGTCCTCCGACAGGCGGATTTTGGAAAAATTGGAAATGTGGAACATGGACAAAGAAGAAACGCATGAACACAAACTTTTGGCGCTCCGCGCGGATGTCTTGCATCTGCGCGGAGCGCGCCAGGGGCGGCGCCGGAGGCGCCGCCAGGGGGGGCCAAGTGCGGATCCAAGAAGTCCGCGCGGAGCGCTTAAAGTTTCTGTTTATGTAGTTTTTCTCCTTCGACAGAAGGCAGAAAAGAGTCGCCGAGCATGGCGTTTTGGCGCGGGCAGCCTGCCCTGGCAAATCTGCCGCCGAAGCGGGCTCGCGTGCGCATCAAAGGTGTAGCCGGCGCAGGCGGGGGCCAAAAAGCCGAGGGGGGAGGACCGTGACAACCCGCCATTGCGACAGAAGCACGACATGCGATGTCCGTTCAAGTTCCAGGCCAGCGTCGATTCCTCTCGTCATCATGCATCATGCTCACCATCATCATCATCACCACCACCACCACCACCATCATCATCATCATCATCATCATCATCAGCATCCATCATCATCATCATCATCATCATCATCATCATCATCATCATCATCATCATCATCATCATCATCATCATCATGAACAACAGCACCATCATCATCAACCCAACACCACCATCAGTATCACCATCAGCGTCACCATCAGCATCATCGACATCATCGTCATGTTTGTGATCATCGTCTCCATCGAAATCATCGACATCAATCTCGACATCACCACCACCACCATCGCCGTCATCGTCATCATAATCATCATCATCATCATCATCATCATCATCATCATCATCATCATCATCATCATCATCAAAGACATCATCATCAGCAACATCAGCATCAGCATCAGCATCATCACCATCATCATCATCATCATCATCATCATCACCGTCGTCGTCGTCGTCGTTGTCGTCGCCATCCTCCTTATCCTCCTCATCAACGTCATCACCGTCGTCATCATCAACATCGTCGTCAGCATCATCAACATGATCGTCATCATCACCATCATCAACACCATCATCGTCATCATCATCATCGTCATCATCGCCATCATCGCCATCACCACCATCATCACCAGTAGCAACATCGCACTCATCATCAACAACATAACCATCATCATGCTTATCATCACCATCATCATCATGATCATGATCATGATCATGATCATCATCCTCATCATCAGCATCACCACCACCACCATCATCATCATCATCCCCCTCCATTTGTCGTCGAAATATATTTCGTACCACGGGTCAACGGAAATCTCGACCCCTGCCCGCGGGCCGATGTTTCATCCTGCGTCGTTCTTGGCGGGCCTCAGGGTCCGGAATACTGCCTCTGGAGGCTGAAAACATGTCAACCTAAACTTTTTCGTCGGCGGCGAGGCGGAGGAAATCCGCACCAGCTTGGGGCGAATCGGTGAAACCGATAGGCAGTTGGTCTGGCGTGCAGGAGAGTGAGAGGCCACGTCAACCAAAACACTGGGTGCCACGGCTTTAGCTGCGACGCCTGGGTGCGAAGGAAATGGGGCTGGGGGCCCTCGTCGTGGCCTTGTCACGACGTCGTAGTTTCGCTCGCGTTGGCTGAGATGCTGGGACGCCGATCCTGTCCAGGCCCATCCTAAGTCGCGGCTCAGCGGGGACAACCTGCTGGCGAGGCCAGGACTCACGATGCGGCCAAGCGGTTTCAAAGACAAAGTTGGGCAGGGACGATTGAACAAACAATTGCTTCTCGTGTGGGTCGCTGGCTGCGGCCTGGCGGCCTCGAAGGCGAACACGGCGACGACGAAGCGAGAAGATGTGTATATATATATGAATAAAGAATAGGCACGAAATATAGATATACATATGCTCGTGCGTGTGTGTATTTGATCGTGCACTTCCCAATCAGGGGCTGCTGCGACCCCCCCCATCCGGGCATTCCTTAATCGCGTCGCTAATACCTCCCAAGGACGAACGTGCTCAATCGGCGGGCCCCAGAAGCTTCGACCCCCTCCCGAGTGGCAATATGCTCGTCCTGGGCCGCTCTTGGATGGTTGCGGGGTCCGAAAACGGACGCCCATGAGCAGAAACTGTAGCGACGAGGGCTGGGACCGAACCAGCACGCCGGAAGGGTGGCGAGGGCGCAACCGCTGGTCCCCTCGGGCGCAGGGTTGGTTACTGCCCCGGAACCGGCGCAAGATTAGGAGTACGGTCATCGTCCCAACAAAGGACACGCATCATCTGAAAACGCGGGGGCTTCTCTGGCCACGGCGGACCTAGGCCACAGACAAGCTCCACGACAGGAAGGTAAGAAGCGGTCCGGAGACCCGAGCCCCTCCTGAGATCAAAGCGGCCCCTTTGTTCAAAGCCTTTACTGTACATGGCGGGGGCTGCCATTGAGCAGGGACCGACCGTCCCGGCATTCCTATAGTCCTACCACGAAATGTTCCTAGCACCCCGAAATGTTCTGAGAAACAAGACGGTCCTGGCCAGAAATGTTCGAACATTTCGTGGAAACCACCAAAAGGTTCTCAGAACATTGCTTGGTATGTCTATAGGCGAGCCAGGACGCTCCGCCACTGCTTGCTGCCAGGGGGCAACAGAGGTCACGCAGCGGCTGGCCGAGAGCCGTTGCAGAGGTCGCCAAGAGGTCGCCACCATGGCCGCAAAAGGGTGGACCTGCTTGGCGCACCCTGGCGGCCGAGCACCCACGGGCCGAGGAACAGGGCCGCGACGAGGACCGGCACGGCGACCTGCCAGCCAGTGACCTGAGGGCGTCGCGACAGCGAGCTGGAGCTACGGTCAAGTCGGGCACGTCCCCTACAGGAGGATTTTTGGCGAAAAATAGAAGATACCCCGAAAAATACCAAGAATTGTATATATGTATATATATATATATATTGAAAAATAATAATATATTTTTTTTAAAAAAAAAAAAAAAAAAAAAAAAAAAAAAAAAAAAAAAAAAAAAAAAAAAAAAAAAAAAAAAAAAAAAAAAAAAAATCCCCACGACAATGATGTAACATTTTTTGAATATTCCGACTTAAAGCTATGGCGGCGCGCACAGGGGGGCAGGGTTGCGGGGGGAAGGCTCCTCAGACGGAGGCTGCTTCTTAGAAGGCGCTGGCCCTACATCTCTACAGTGGCAACCCATGCCAAGAAACACCCTGCTTGCCTCCAGGGTGCCCTGGATTTCTTGGATGTCCATGGTTTTGCTAGGGGCAGCGCGACGTTCCCACACCAACGCCAATGGACGTCCTGGGGTCTCAGGGTTGGGTTATGGCAGGTCTCCTTGTGGTCGAGTTCCTCCTGCAGACAAGGCCCTCGCCTTCTCAGAAGCAGGGGGTGCTTCTGAGAGGCCTTTCCCCCCCCCCCATTGAAGGGGCCCTGGGACACACAAATAAATACACACAAATAAAAGGATTCCCCATATGTTCCCATATTTTCTGGGTTTTTGTCTTCCCCCCCCTTCCCATATTTTCCCATATTTTCTGGGAATCGCCGATTAATTGTGTCTGTGTGTTTCTTTTCCTCCTCCCCCATACCCCCCTCTGCGCGCGTGGCCGCAGGAGGGCGGGGCGTCGTCGACGCCCAATGCCCCCTGTGGTGTGCTCTGCTCGGCGACTCGGGAGGCTCTCGTCGCCACGGCTGAGCCCACAAGAGTCGGGGAGACATAAGACCCGGGTACGGGGGACTCGGAAATCCCCGACGAGGTCGTCAAAAAAATGACGAGGCCGAGCCTGCATTTTGACGAGGCCTCCCGCTGCAGACATCCCACGAAACTCCTCCTCGTCAAAATCCGAGGCGCGGTCGTCAAAAAACGATGGCGAACCCGAGTCCTGGCAAACCCGGGTCTTACGCTCCCCCGAAAGAGGCGTACGTGCCCAGCCACGCACATGAATACGGCCCCCCGGAAACCGAGGCCACCCTCGTGATACGAACACTCGCATAATGCGTACTTCCGGGACCAAGCAGGATTCATGTGCGGTCGGACCTGTGACGGACGAACATCCTCCAAGAACACGAGACCCTCCGCCGGCCAAACTGAGGAACCTTCGCGGGTACCCGACCCCAGGATGCACAAGAATAACACTTAACAACCACGAAGAACACTAGGGCATCCTCCCCGAACAGACCTTGATCTTACACCTCGGTCCGACCATACGTGTCCAAGGGTACTCTCCTCAGGATGCACAAGAACATCCAACAGACGCTAAAAAACACTAGGAAGCCCTTCCCGAACTGGCCTCGATCTGACACCACGGTCCGACCTGACGCGCAGGTCCTTTTTTCGTTCCTGAAAGCGGGGCCCTTTCGTGAGCTCGGGCCTGGGCCGGGGGCCTGGCGCTCTGAGACGCCCCACTCCCTCGCAACAGCCCCGCCAATGCATGCCGTCCGAGACGGCCCCCCTCGAGAAGCCCCCGGGCCGAACTGGGCCGAACCCTCCAGAAAACCACCAAACGGAAACATGACTGGGACAGCTTCCGAAGCGTCCGATCGGGAAAACGTAAGACTCGAGCTCGGGTGATCCGGGTTGCACGGACGGGGCCCTCATGAAAACGACGACACCCAATCCGACACTTGACGCGACCTCCCGCTGCAGACATCCCACGAAAACTGAACCGTCAATCCCGGGCGCGTCCGTCAAAAACCGCAAGCGAAGCCGAACTCCTGCGCACTCGAACCTTACGTTTCCCCGATCTTGGTCGGCCCAAGAGGCCCCCCAAATCGCCCCAAGACGGCCAGAAAGGCCCCCCAAAACGGCCCCACTCGTCTCGTCGCCACAGCAAACTCCAAACGAAGAGACCACGACGCGCCAAATGCGCACCGGCAGCTCTGAAACAAGAAATCCAAAAAGCAACGGCCACGTTGGTCGGAATCTCTCCCGCGAGCGCGACAGGGTCAAAATCAGGTTGGGGCAAATCGATGGTCCCTGAAATCTGGCGTTTCTGGAAGATGCATCCCGGGCAACGGCCACTCTGCCCCCCCGGAAGAGCAATGCAAAGTTTGCAGGCCGCGTCGAAGCATCGCCCGGTGGTCTTCCCCGTCGGATGGTTGTTCATTCGCGACGGCCCCGCGGCCCGAAAACGGCAACACCAGGGCACAAAAGATTTCGACGCCTGGGCCCCACATCAAAGCCTTTTCGGTTAGTCCGGAAACGGCCCTCATCATCGTCTTCGAGATGGCGAAGGGCGCCTGCAAGGTTTCGTCCTGTCTCCCTGTCTCCTCCGTGCCATGCTCCGTCTCATTACAGCGGAAGCCCTTTTCCCACTCCCTGCTTTGCATCCTCCTCATCCCATTGCCCCTCCTCCCTCACCGCTACCGCTACGACCCCCCTTTTTTCTCGTGCAAGGGCGCGCGCGTCGATTTGCTCCATGGCGCCGTCGCCGCATCGCTGAGCAAGGGCACGTTTTCCGATGGCCAAATCGCTAAGCCGCCATGGCGCGCGAAAGCGCCCGTCGGGACAAACCCGCGCGTTTCGAGCGGGGCGCGGCCGCGTGCAGCCGGGGGGCAGCGCGAAGCCAAGCTCTGCGGCGAACTGCTCGGCCTCAGCCCAGGAGCTCGCCGCTCTTCCGCCGAACTCCCCGAACGCCCCGAACGCCCCCCGCAAAGGCGCCGGCGGTCCGCGCCCGGGAAAGTCGCGCGAAGGCGGCCGCGGGGCCCGCACGTTCCGCACGCGCGCGGCGCGTGGCGCAGCCACCACTGCTCGTCCGACATTCCCGCGCGGCCAGCGCCCTCATCCCTGGCACATTCGGTGGCGACGCCCATGCGCAGCGAATCACCTTGCGACAGCGCGGGGGCGAGGTAGGACGCGCGCGCCAGGGTGAACCCCGAGCGGCGCACGGCGGGCGCCCCGAGCTCTGCTACGTGAAATCCTGCTCGCTGGGCCCGAAAATGAACAAGCTCCGCGCCCGCGCCTTGGCCTAGCCGTCGTCGTCAGCGCCTTCGGCGCCTTGTACCAATGGCTCGGCGACCTCCGGGTAGATCGGAGACTCCTCGAAGCCATGCACACGCAGCCCCCCCGGAAGGAACGGGGGGCGGAAGAGCTGGTCTGGCCCGCACTCGTTGCGCCGCCGCTCGCCGTCGCGCTCAAACTCGAAGGACACGACGGTGGCCCGCCGCTCCTGCGCGAGCCCCAACTTCTTTTCGGCCCCTCCTGCACGGCCGCCGACCGAACCTCCATGCCGACGCGTAGCGGCAAGAAGCCGAAGATGTCCCCCGGCTTGCGCATACTCTGGAGGCGCAGGAGGCGCCGGCCTGCGTCGGGATCGCCGTGGACCGCGTTGCACTCGCCCACGGCCTGCAGGAAAAAAAGGGCGCGCCAAGGCATCTCGCGTTGCGACGAGCGCGCGTGGAAACACCCCGCTGGCGTCACCCACCCAGTAGATGTCCATGGTGTTACCCAGCCGAAAGTGCGCCTGCTGGCGCCGAGGGTCCAGCACGCCGCGGAAATCCGAGGCTAAAATCTTCACCCAAGCGGACCTGACCTCTGGCGAGAAACGCCTGCCCTGGCGCAGAAGCCCAAAGAAAGCGATGAGAGGGCACCCAGGCTCGAAGCGCTTCGCGCCTTGCAACTCTAAGACAGAGGGGTCCGGAGAGAAGAACACGATGGCGCGCTGGATCTCCACCGTCGGCGGCTGTGTACTTGTACGACCGGTCGTCCAAGAGCCCATTCACCTTCAGCCGGAGACCGACGATGCTGGCGGGCTTCAGCTGCAGGAAGTCGCCGAGGTGCAGCACAATGGGGTCGGGCCCGAAGTGGTGCCGCGGCCGCTTGTAGGTGGACTTCTGCACGTCGCGCGCGTTAGTTCGTTCGCGGCAACGCGCGAATGTCCACCGCGTTGCACGGTGCTGCCGCCACCGTACTCACCTGGTCGATGGCCTGGATGCAAAAGTGCCGCCACATGCATTTCAACCGCTTCTGCGTGCCCACAGGCCTCATCGTCGCATCGATGTGCTTCTGCTTCTGGACTCGCAGTGCGCAGGCGTTGTGCAGGGCTCTGGCCTTCACAGTCTCCGTGGAGATATTCCTTGCTTGCGCGCTCGAGAAGGGCAAGGCCATCATGGTGGCCTCGTCTGGCGCCATCGAGGGTCACAAATACTCCACCACTGGAAAACGATGTTCTATACCACGCGCGTCTTCACCAAGCCGCCCGGGCCCAGCAGGAGCAAGTGCGTGACGTCTCTCTCGCTCCGGGGTTTCTTCTCCACGTCGTCCCCCCCGGCTTCGTCGCAGGCCTTGGCGAACCTGGCGACGAAGAGCGTCTGGTCCTGAGCCAGACCCTGGTTCTCCGGCAAGGGGGCGGCCGGAGCGGCGATGCACATAGTCCCCTTGGGATGCTCAAGTTCTGTGCCTGCTGGAGTGGGCCGACGGCCCGCCTCGGAGTCGTACACGAAAAGCGGGGCCCCTAGAAGTGGGCTGCCGCTCGAGACTTCCTCGCAGTCTACTCACCGACGAGGCTCCCAGCTCGAGACATCCTGACGAGTTGCCTCCCTTGGAGTGCGGGAGTGCTATGCCTCTTAGGAGTAGGCAGATGCCCCGCCTCGGATTCGAACATGAAATGCGGGCCCTGAGGGAGGGGCCTCCCGCTCACGACTTCCTCACAATTCACCCACCGACGAGGTCCCCTTCTCGAGACATGCTCACGAGTTGCCTCCTTGGGGTGATCGGAGGACCCGCCTCGGTTTCGAACATGCAGCGCGAGGCCCCTAGGGAGGGGGCGATTTCGAAAATATGAGAACCAAAGCCTTATGCGGTCAAAATGACATGATGATATGGTAATGACGATGACTGGTGAGTGATCGGTGCTGATGACGACGATCATGGTGATGACGATCATAGGGACGATGATGATGACGATGGTGGTGGTGATATTGATGACTGGTGCTTAGTGACCAGCAATAGTGACGTGTGCGTCAGTGAATGCCCGAGTGAGTGAGTTAATGGGCGAGTAAGAGAGTGAGCGATGAGAGGGAGGAGGAGGAAGAGGAGGAGAAGGAGGAGGAGGAGCGTGTGACTGCGTGGGTATGTGAGTGAGTGAGTGAGTGAGTGAGTGAGTGAGTGAGTGATGTATAGAAGAGAGGGTCAGAAGGAGGACTGCGCGGGGTGCCAAGAGAACACAAGATCCCCACTTAGGATGTAGGGACGGAGCAACCGAAGATCAAACAGATCAACGGTCGAAGTTGCATTACTTCTACAGGGCAGTGTAGCCCTGACCGACCTCGCCCCTGGCCCCTGCAAAAGCAGAGGCCTCCCAAATGGGGTCCGAGTGCGTAGGCGGGGTCGGAGAATCGCGCCGCATAGTCGATGTATCGTCGATGCGACGTCGATGCATCGGCGACGTCTGAAATGAATCGGCGGCGTCGGCGTGGAGAAAAACGGGATCCACATCGAGCCGCATCGCCCGTGCATCGGCGATGCGGCTGACCCCATCTACCCAGACCCCCGACGTCCTGAGTTTTACGTAACGTCGACCCCCAAAAGTCTCGACCCAGTCCCTGGGACCAGCTCTTCATCCTGAGTCGTCTCTTGACGGTCCCTGGGACCGGCGAGGGCGCCCAGGGCCGAGAACGCCGGGAAACATCGCGTCATGAGATTGTCAGGGCGCGCGGGGGGGGTCTGGGCCCTCGGACCCCATCTGCCAGACTCCGCTCGGCACCAGACCCCAGACCACTCCCGGGGCCCTTGCTGTGGCGCCAGCTCTTCCTGGGCCGCGCCCCGCCCGGGCGACGTAGAGAGACAAGCTCCGGAGGCGCCCAGAAACCTCCCGAACGACGGCACCACAGAGATCTTCGTCGTCGTCGTCGGCGTCGGCGTCGTCTTCGGCGGCGGCGTCGGCGTCGGCGTCGGCGCCGCCGTCGTCGTCCTCCTCCTCCACCTCCTCCTCCTCCTTGTCCCCCTCCTCGTCGTCGTCCTCCTGCTCCTCCTCCCTCCTGCTCCTCCTCCTCCTCCTCCTCCTACTCCTTTTACCTGTTACTGTGCACTGACTGTCATTTAACCTTAGGTGCTCGTGCAGAGTGTTCGCAATTACCTCTGCCAGCTGCGCGCCAATGTTTGCTGACAGGCTATATGCTTCAACAGCTCCTCCTCGTCGTCGATCCCGACCCCTTCCCCAGGGCTGGCTCTTCCCCCCGAGTCGTTCTCTGACGGCCCTCTGGGCCCAGCGAGGACCCCAGATGCCGAACGCGGCCAAAAACCTTCGCACCGACGCTGTCCAATGCGCTCGAGATCTGGGATCGACGACAGCGTCATCGTCGCCGACGGTGCGAAGACCTCGAGCTCGCCCAGCCGGTTCGAAGGAGAAGCAACTACATGAACGTAGACTCTCGGAGGCCCGCCGGGGCTTCTCTCGGACCTGCGGCGCTGGCACGGGGGACGCACTGACCCGGGTCGATGCAAGCCCCGGTGGAGTCGGCCCGTGCAGGATCCTGCAAAAGGTTGCAGGATCCTGCATAATCCTGCACTTGACCACGGGTCAATGCGCCCCTGGCGCTGAAGGATCCTGCAAGATCCGGCGCACTGGCTGACCCCTGTTCGCACTGCCCTCCGTCAGAAGGTTGCCGCGCGCCTGGGAGGGGGTGGGTTCAGCGCCGATCCATAAATCTGGGCGGATCTTGAAGAGGCAAGAAGGTACAGCTACTCCTACACGATAGGGAGTGGGGGGGCTGAGTATCGTTTAACAGATCCCCATCCCCAGCGGCGTGGCCTGGGCCCCACTGGCCGATTTACCCCCCTAGATGGGGATGTAGGTCGTTCCCTTCGGGCTTCGAGGGGTGTACCCCCAACTGGGGTGGTCATTTGGTGGGGGCCTCGACCAGGATCCGGGGACCGCTCTGACCAGGGTCCCGAGGCGAGTGCAGCTGTGGCGTCCAGGGAGGCGTGGCGCGGTCTAGTTTTGCCGGGGTCTGATGCGAGCTGTCTTGGGGTCTGCTGCTCCCGTCGTGCTTAAGAAAACCACATCCCAGAAATAATTTCGAGCACCCAGAGAAGTGTCGAACGAGTGCCGAAACAGTGACAAAACAGTGTTGGACGAGTGTCTCCCAGGGCCCGACACGTGGAAAACCCTGGAGTTTCGGTACTTTTTGGGTGCTCGAAATTCTTTCTGGTGATCGAGGCTAAAGTGGGTTGGAGCATCATAAGTCTTGGGGTCTCCAGGGCGTCGGTGTCATAGACCGCCCTGTGTTGTGGCTGTTCTGGGAGCCCCAGATTGCCCGTCTGGGAAGGTTGCGACCCACCCCCTCTTATGACGACATGCGGAGTGCCTTTCCCTTCTCTCAGGGACCTCCGAGATTTCAGCGGCACGCACGAGGGTGCAGGGGGAGAGGGTGAGGCCTCCTAGGAGGAGGTTGCTTCTTGGAAGGCGCCGGCCCTACATCTATAGAGAAGGCCCGCGCCTTTCAAAAAAAACGGATGCTTCTAAGAGGCCCTCCCCCCTCCCCCTACCCGCCCTGCGCGTGGGCTTTGTAAGAGTAACCTTTGGCGCGCGGCTTCATGGGGCCGTGGGGCCCAAAATCCAAGCGCGCGGACCAGCGCAAAAGGGGACCCCTGTGGGCCCGCACCAGAGGGCACTCCGGCGAAGGGCCACTCTTGCGCCCAGCCGAAACACGGGAGGCACAGGGACATGCCAGTGCTGTGTGTCCCCGTACCCATCTCTGAAGGGGACCTGGGACACACAAATAAATAGAAACAAATCACAGGATTCCCTATATTTTCCCATATGTTCTGGCTTTTTGTCTTCCGCCCCACTGCCCAGATTTTCCTATATTTTCTGGGGAATCGACGATTAACTGTGTCTGTGTATATTTTGTTCCCCTCCTGAGTGTCCTCGTACCCATCTCGGCGCCTGGCCGAGAAATCTGACTGGGGAACCACAAGATACCCCTACCGCTGCTCCCCGGACCTCTCTTGGCGCGCGCTCTGACCACAGTGCTCGAGGCGAATCCGGCGGTGGCGACGAGGGCTTCCAGGGAGGCCCAAAGGGGGGACAAACGAGGGAAGGGCAGCGGCATGGGCAACTGTTCCTCCTCGGAACCTCCCCCTACACGCCTCTGCGCGTGGCCGAGAAGTCTTACGTTCATGTCTGTTGTCTCTCCTTCGGCTGGTGGCGCCGGTCCAGCAGCCCGCGCGCGGTCTCCAGCGCCTGGCGCAGCGAGGCCTGCCAAGGGGGGTCGGCCCATGCAAGACTTCTCTATGTGCGCTCGCTCCGTGTCCGTTCTCGGGCGCTGTATGGGGCGCACAAGGACAGACTGGTACTATGGAATCCTCCTCGGAGGCGTGCGTCCGACCGAACATCTAGTACAAGCACCTTCTGGTAAGTCGTTTCCCGAGCGGTATGGCCGGGAAGCGCCCGCCGCCGAGCATATACGGTGAAATGTCTCGGTGCGCGCGTCTCCCCTTTGGGTGCGACGCACACATAATATTAGCACGTTTGGGCGACGCACGCTGCAGGCCGAAAACAAATCTCTCTCGCACATAGACACAGACACAGACACAGACACAGACACAAACACAGACAGACACAGACACAGACACAGACACAGACACAGACACAGACACAGACACAGACACAGACACAGACACACACTCACACACACACACACACACACTGGAGTCATGAAAAAACACGGCGGCTGGTTGCTCTCCATGTTCGGCCTCTGGTGGACCTTGCCAGGCCTCGGGATCCCTCAAAAACAACTCTGGTTGAAAAACGGGTCTCGGGGAAGGGATCGATTCCTCTATGGGGTCGGCGTTATGAACAAATCAAGACGTCGGGGATCTGGGAACGGTCCGACCGATTGCCCAAAACAACGTCTTGGGGCAGAATCCGAGGCCGTGACTGGCCAGTGGTGGGCCCCAGAATGAGAGCAAGACAGACACGAGGAGAAACCTAAAACGATCCACGATAATCTGGCGGCGCCAATATGTGGGTGGCACGAGGGATACGGCTTGCTAAGAAGGCGGAGGGGCTTCTTAGAGAGAAAGCAAGGGCCTTCTCACAAGGCCCCAGAGGCTTCCAAAAGGACTTCCCAGAAACCGGGCAGGCTTGTGAGAACCACCTCTTGCCTTCTCAGAAGCCCCGCCACCTTCTGAAGACGACCCCCCTAGCGTCGCCCCTTGTGGAAGCCCAATCATATTACCCATACAGCGTTCGCAGCCATGCTCCCGCTTCGCGAGAGGCGAGAAGTTATTTGGGCTCTCGCGCCGCCCCCCTGGGCGAAAATAGGAGGGCGAGGACGAGGACGAGGACCATGATGCGGACAACTGAGGACAAGGATGATGATGAGGATGAGGATGAGGACGAGGATGATGAGGATGGTGGTGGTGGTGATGACGAGGATGAAGATGTGTATGAGGATAAGGATGAGGATGATGATGAGGACGGTGTTGATGATGAGGATGCTGATGACGGTGATGGTGTTGTTGATGATGCTGATGATGATGATGATGCTGATGATGCTGATGATAATGATGTTGATGCTGATGATGATGATGCTGATGATGATGCTGATGATGATGCTGATGCTGATGCTGATGCTGATGCTGATGATGATGATGATGATGATGATGAGGAGGAGGAGGAGGAGGAGGAGGAGGAATCGCAAACCGCGAAGCGCGAATAACATCGCGCCCTCGTGGCGGCCCTCCGAAACTGCCAAGACAGCGCTTCGGTCTACCCGCCCCCCCGAGGCCTGCGACGCCTCGGCCTCGCCCGCCGGCCTCATCCGCAGGTGCAGCAGCGCCGCCCCGCCCAGCAGCCCGCCCACGAGCAGCCAGGCGAAGAGGTAGGGCCGGAGCACGTTGAGCCTCGGCACCCAGACAGGCATGGGACGCGCAGAGACATACTAGTACTGCATGTTCACCTTGGAGGCGCGCGTCCGACCCGAACATACAGTATACCCATCTTATGGTAGATCGTTTCCCCAGCGGTGTGGACAGAAAGCGCCCGCCACGACGAATATACTGTAAGATTTCTCGGTGCGCGCGTCGCCCCTGGGGGGGCGACGCACATACAGTATAAGTATGTTAGGGTGACGCCGAAGACAGGGCAGCTCCAGTCTCAAACCTGGAAAATCAGAGAATGAACTAAAGAGCGACAAAGGGCAGACGGGTCTTTCGCGAGACGACCTTGCGACCCTACGCCACAGGACGCAGGCCGCCCGGGCACGCTACACGGGGAAACGAGAACGCTCACGCGCGACCTTACGCGAGCCAATGCATGTGCAGTCTGGGTCGCTCAAATGGGAACAGAGCGAATCCATCCTCTAAGGTTTTTGGGCCCCCTTCCCGTAGGCCTCCGCAGAAGCGCCATAGGACAACGTATAATGAATAGTCGCCTGGCTGGTTCTCCGGGCGACAAAGTGTTGCACAACATATAATCACGGTATATTCACGTAGATATACACACTGCGCTCGGGCGGTGGACAAACACACCATAGTTTGAAGGACATTTCTTATCCCTGAATAAACATCAACTTTCAGAGGGCGGCGCGCGCAGCGCCGATCCTAGAGATTATGTTCGTGTTGGGGCGCCATGTGGGACCTGCTCCAGAGCAGAAACATATCGTAGACGGATGTAATATTTCTCCGACCCTGTACTGCGCCGAACGCGACGGCTGCATTGTCCATAGACGCATCCATCCCGAATGCGTATATGTTCGACACCCACTGACTATACATGTACATATATACACACATATGTATATATATATATATGTATAGATTTGTAATGCCAGAACGTTAGAACGGTGCCTCGCATAGGCCCCAGGCACTGGCACTCTAGAAGCAGGTAGGCTTCGCCCTCCAAATGTTATGCAGTTTGCTCTTCTTCGGCAATTCACGGCTATGCACGATTCCAGTCTCATGACACGTGCGTTCCCAATGTCCAGGAGCACTGAGCTTTAAATGGACTGGGCTTTGGTCAGAACTTGAGCCTGGGAGCCCCACCGCCACCGACGTCACGAAAAGACTGCAACCTCGCCGAAGACATGCGGCATCCCAGAACTACTTCATGCTGCATCTCCCGAATCGGATCGATGCGTGACGCTCCTGGGGCCCGAGACCGGGCGAAAAAGTGCGAGACCACTCGATACACACCACCACCGCCTGCAACAATCAGGGGGGCGTAAGACCCGGGTACAGGGGACTCGGAAATCCCCGACGAGGTCGTCAGAAAAATGACGAGGCCGAGCCTGCATTTTGACGAGGCCTCCCGCTGCAGACATCCCACGAAACTCCTCCTCGTCAGAATCCGAGGCGCGGTCGTCAAAAAACGATGGCGAACCCGAGTCCTGGCAAACCCGGGTCTTACGCTCCCCCGAAACAAAAAAGAGGTGGCGCAACAGCTGACCTCGGAGTCAGGGCTGCGCCAGACGACGCCCGCGCCGCCGCGGCGAGCAGGAGCGCGGCACGGCGCGCGGGCGCCATGGAAGGGGAGCTCCCGCAGTGGAAGCCGCCCATCTTGGTGGTGGTGCACGAAGGATTGCAAAAAAACCCGAAGGATTGCAAAAAATAACAGGATTGCAAAAAAAGGATTGCAAAAAAAACCCTTCGCAAAAGGTTTTTTTTGCAATCCTTGGTTCAAGTGGGACGCACCAGGACATACCGGTGGTAGGGGGTCCTCCTCGGAGGCGTGTGTCCAGCCAGATCATACAGTACAGACATGTTGTCGCATGCCGTGTTCCGAGCGGTACGACCAGAACGCGCCAGACATATAGTGCATATCATGCCGACATGTTGTCGCATGTGACGCCGCGCCCGCCACGGAGCACAGACTGTCTGATTCCTCGGCGCGCGCGTAGCCCGTGGTATGCTTGTGTGGCGCCGGCAAGAGTCTGACCCCTCTGTATGCAAAATTATTTACACCGAGGCCTCCTAGATGGGATCGGAGTAGATGGGGTCGGAGGATCGCGCCGCATCGCCGGTACATCGGCGATGCATCGGCGATGCAGTGCCGATGCATCGCCGACGTCGGATATACATCGCCGACGTCGCCGTGAAGCAAATCGGGCTGCACATCGAGCCGCTCAGGCAATGCATCGGCAATGCGACGCGATCCTCTGACCCCATCTACTCCGACCCCATCTGGTAGGCCTAGAATACACAACCACCAGCGCATTGGTCTGGATCCGCCCCGTTCCCTCCCCTGCGCGCGGGGGCGGGGGGGCCGGTCGTCGTTGGCGGCGGGGCCGCGGCAGCGGTTGCCCACAAGAGCTGAGCTGCGCCAAAACGGATCGCGCGCTTCTGCCCCGATCTTGGTGACGGTGGTCATCCATCGTGCTCGGAGAAAACGCCTGGCACCAAAAATGCAACGCCCGGATCAGCCTTGGGGGGCGAAAAGATCCCGATACCGTGACTCCCCAGAACTCCCCCTGGATGCAGTCTGAGGAGAATTGCAGAGCCAGCCCAGCCGTGGCGACGAGGGAGGAGAGGCTGCATCAGGATATCTTCCCCCTCTTGAAAGCTGATGGACCGTGGCGAATCCAGCCGTGGCGATAATCGGGGATCTTCTGACCCGGGTCAATCCAGACCCGGACCAGTCAGGCCTGCAAAATCCTGAAAACTCCTGCAAGATCCTGCAAGATCCTGCACCCAAACCCGGGTCAACGCGAAGGATCCTGCAAGATCCTGCAGGATCCTGCACCCAAACCCGGGTCAGTGCCACCCTGGCCCTGCAGGATCCTGCAAGATCGGGCAGCCTGGCTGACCCCCGTTTGCACGGATGGGGAAACCAAAAGGTACCGATACCGCTACCCCCCGGACCTCTCCCGGGGTGCGTTCTGACCAGGATTTCGAGGCGAATCCAGCGGTGGCGACGAGGTTCCCAGGAGGCCCGAAAAGGGGAAAACGGGCGAGGGATGGGTACCTGTTCCTCCCCTGAACTGACCCCCGTCTCTTGAGCCCCGAGACGAGGGAGGAGAAGCGGTACCGCCTCTGAGAGCCGACGGGCCGGGGACGTCCTTTGGGGATCCCGGCGAGAGCCACAGCGCTCCCGCGGCGGCCGCGGCAGCGGCCCACTGCCAGACGGCGGCCTCGACGTCCAACCCCGGGAGCCTGCACCTGGTCAGGCGCCGTGGGGCACTCCACAATGGCTCGAGAGTCCATTCCCTGTGCTTTTGTCGGCTTCGTGCGTGGCTGTTTCGCAGGATGATCCAGGACGCTTCTGAATAATCCCGTACGCACGTACGCACATACACACATACACAGTAACATTAATACATCCATCCACCCAGATATTCGTATATACATATGTACATACAAACATTCATATATACATACCCGTCTACAGACATACACGCATACATGTCTACATGCATGCGCACATGCATACACATCTGCATACATACATACACACATGCATACATACACACATGCATGCACATGTACATCTCATTCATGCATACATTCATACATACTGACGGACAGGCAGGCAGGCAGCCAGACAGACAGACATGCATACAGGCATCCATACATGCATGCATGAATACATACCTACATATATGTACAGATGTGTAGAATAATAGATCTGTACATGTATGCATGCGTGGCGGAACAGAGGGCGTTCAAATCCGGGCGCCGCGAACCACCGCATCGTGGAGGCACTTCTGCTACCGTGTTCTGGAGCCGCTGCGAAGCCGCGCGCAGGCCCCAAAGGACCGTCAAAGAGCGGGTGGGGGGGGTGACCTGAACGGGGGGTGAGAAAATCGGCGGCGAGCAAGGGAGGGAAGTGAGAAGGAGAAGACCTTCTCAAAGGCGGCGGGACTTCTCCGAAGCCCTCGCGCCTTCTGAGAAATCGTCGGTGTCTTCTGGGAAGGATTGGGAAACTTCTCCGAAGGCCAGGGGACTTCCGAGCCTGCTGAGACGGCCTTCTCCTTCTCACTTCCCCCCCTCGCTCGCCGTCGAGCAAAGGGCTCCCTGAAGGCCCTCTCGTTGTCCCCCATGTAACTTTCCCCCATTACAGTGGAGTCCCGACCACAAGAAACCTTCCACGAGAAACCCAACCCTAAGATCCCAGGACGCCCATCGATGTTCGGTGTGGAAACGTCGCGCTCCCCATGGCGAATTCATCGAAACCCAAGAAACCAAGGGCACCCTGGAGGCAAGCAGGGTGTTTCTCGGCATGGGCCCCCCCATTAGCACACGCCCGAACCGTTCGGCTGCTGGAAAGCGCGGCCCTGGGGGGAAGGGCTTCTTTCGAGGTGCTCCCTGGTGGCGGCCCACATCAGTCTCAGGGACGGTGCGGCGTCGGAGGGGAGAGGAGGGGAGGGGAGGGAGGGAGTGGGCAGGGAGGAGGGCGGAGGGACAGAGGAGAGGCGGGATGGAGGCGCGAAGGATGGGGCGATTGGGGAAAGGGGGGGGGGGCAAGGGAGCAGGAGCGAGGAGCGCAGGGGGGAAGAGGAGGCAGAGGAGGGAGGGTCAGGAGGAACTACGCGGAGGAGGAGGGGGAGGAGGAGGAGGAGCAGGAGGAGGAGCAGGAGGAGGAGGAGTTTGGGGCTTCGGGGAGAGGTGATGCAGGCGCAGCGGCGGGTCGTGGAGGACGCGCTGGCGGCGGGGCAGGCAGAGGAGCAGGGTGGAGGAGGAGGCAGGGAGGGCCGGGAAGAACTGCAAGGAGGAGGGAGGAGCAGCAGCAGCAGCAGCAGCAGAGGCAGGGGGCAGCAGGAGGAGGGAGGAGGAAAGAGGAGGAGCAGGCGGCCCCTCCACGGGCCCCGGGGCACCTCGGCAGGCAGGCTCGTGCTCTCTCTCGTGCAGCTCCGCTCTCCCTGCGCCTCCCCTGCGGCGGCAGCGGCGCCGTGTGCCGAGGAGAGAGGCGCCGGGCGGCTGGCCCGAAACCAGCTGCGTGCAGCAGCTGTCGTACCCGACCCGAGGGATGGCTCCGGGTGTCGATGTTCGGGAGCCTCCCCTACCATCTTGTCGGCTCTTGCGGACCGACGCGGGGTCGACGCCAGATCGACGCCCATCGGCGCTGCATCGGCGCTCATCGGCGCTAGCCGGCGCTAAATCGGCGTTTGTCTCATCGACTCCCAGGCGCTGATCGGCGCCGAATCGACGCCAACGCCGGAATTCGGAGGGCACACGAGGCTCCCCTGGCTTGCTGCCGCACCGATGGGGTCGACGGTGCAGCATGTGCCGCGCGGGACCGTGGGCGGGGCTCGAGGCCCGCTTCGGGGGCGGGCTCCCGAGGAGCAGCGGGCCCCTGCGAGGCCGGCTTGGAAAGCAGCCGTGCCCTGCCGGGGCCAGGCGCGGCGGCGGTGTGCGGCAGGCTCCCGCCGCGACGGCCTGCGCGCGGGTTTCCGACACCGCGCGGACCGTTCAGTCTTGAGAGATCGCGGCGTTCCGCCCACGTAGTTCGACTTATCCTCCTTTTTCCCCTCCTCTTTCTCCTCCTCCTCCTCCTCCTCCTCCTCCTCCCTCCCTCCCTCCCTCCCTCCCTCCCTCCCCCTCATCCCTCCCTTCATCAAATCCCCATCCCTCCCCCCTCTTCCTCCCTCGATAGGATAAACTTGAGAGTCTGGCAACATCTCTCCAGGAAAGATCGCGGCGATCCGCCCACGCAGATCGACTAGGTGGCAACATTCGAACCCTACCTTTACCAGCTATCGATTCGGATTTCGCCGCCTACCCCCGCCGCCCATCAAGGATGCCTGAGTCGCTGATCGGCGTGAGTAGGTTTCGGATTTCGCCGCCGATCGACATCGGCTGATGTCGGGATGCTGTCGGCTGGCCTCGAAGGCCAACACCAAGGCCGCCACTACGCCGACAGAGGGTGCGCATCTGCCGTGTCGGTGCCTCCTGCTAAAGAGCAGAGGGCGAGCTTCGCGGATGGGAAGAATCTCCGTCTCCACGGCCTCGCGGGCTGGACCCCTGGACTGCGACCCCGCGGATACAGTCGACCCGTATCAGAAGCATGCGCGATAAGGATGTAAGTTCCTCAAGCTAGGCGCGGCCACCATTCGACATACCTGAGACGGACGATCCTTTTTGCTGAGGACGCGTCCTTACACAGGACGAGGTGCACTTGAGATTCTATAATGCTGAGCTTGCGTGGCAGCTATTGGGAAAAGGACCCGGGCCCGGATCAAATTGCCAGAAAAGACTGCGTAGCATTGGCTCCCCAGGGTGGGTAGGGAGGGAAGCCTTGAAACCAGAATGGCCGCGAGAGGGGAGAGCAGCAGCAGGGGCGACAAGCAAGGGAGAAAGAAGGAAGGGGTGGAGCCCCTCTCGCTCGGCCGCTCGACGCGGAGGAAAACTGCATCCAAAGATAATCATTCCTCAAGCTAGGCGCGGCCACCATTCGACATGCCTGAGACGGACGATCCTTTTTGCTGAGGACGCGTCCTTACACAGGACGAGGTGCACTTGAGATTCTATAATGCTGAGCTTGCGTGGCAGCTATTGGGAAAAGGACCCGGGCCCGGATCAAATTGCCAGAAAAGACTGCGTAGCATTGGCTCCCACCCCCTAATCATTTGTCATTGGGTGGGCGGGTTGGGAAGAAAAAAGAGAAAGGAAGAATCTTAGCTGGGCACCCGACTCGAACAGGCCACGCGAGAGACGAGGTGCCGCAGGTCCGCCGCCGAGAAATGGGCAGCACGTTGGCGGACGGCGGCGGGCACGGCCGCACGTTGACGCAAGAGAGAGCCGTGCTTTTCATAGATGCGCACCGACTCTCGCGCGCGCCATCTTCCTCGCTGCTGGATCTGACCCAGGCTGCGCAATTGCTCCAAGGCATCGTGCGAGGGGCCTCCGTGCCGAAGTTGGTGAGGCACAGAGAAGACGTGGCAAAGGCCTAAGTCGGAGGCCACTCCTCGCACCATCCTCTCGTATGCACTGAGATTCAAAGGAGCAAAAAGCTCGGCTGCGTCTGCTCGGCCCCTACGAAGGGCAAGCAGCGCAG